TTGTTCAGCCCATTTTTATGGAAAAAGGAACTTCGATGGAAAGAAATGTGTAATTATAGTGTAATGTGACTAAAGTTACATGATTATCATTTTATTAACCGCAGAATTATTTCTTTCCTGTTGTCGTTTCGACTTAATAAAAAACATCTTTAGTGTAAGAAAATATCTTGTAAATATTATAAATTTTTTGGTTAAAGTTTAATATACTTACCAATTTTTTTCGCTCTTTTTTTTAAATTATAGATCTAAACAAATCTTTCACACTCTTTACATCACTAACAACAGTTGTGAAGACTCCAACACTATCGGAAAATAGAAAATCGCATTCGGGAGGCGATTCAACTACATCGTCGTCTGCATTATCTTCACAGACTTCACAACAAGAAGAGGCTGAGGACAAAGTTAATTTGACATTACTCTTAGTTTCAGGGAAAAGACATACATTTGTTTTTGATCCCAACGATACAATAACAGTTGTTAAAAGTCGAGTTTTTAATAATTGGCCTAAAGGTAATTAGGTCAATTTATTTTATTCAATTAATCGTTCACTTAAATTGAAAGCTTTATTGTTGGATAATATTGAATGTTCTATATTGCAAGATTATTAAATTTATTAAAACCCTTTGCTCAAATTACGGATATTATTGGTGGAAATCAACATCAAGTATGATGTATCCAGCATTAATCAAACTTATAAACCATCTTATTAATTTTAAGACTCATGCTAATCAAGTAGCACTAATAATAATTCAAACAAGTAATTGTATTGAATAACAAATAATAACCTATTGACAAAATATTTTGCAAATGGGCTTTTTTTGCTTCATATTTTGATTCTCATTTTAAAAATATAAAGTTTATAAATAATCAATTTTAATGGAAATATAGTAATAATAATAAACTATTTATAATTATTCTATTTTATTTTATTATTATAAGTTATAGTTGATAAAAAAGAAAATTTTAATTTTAATCTAAAATCTAATTTTATTATCTAACTTAATCAATTATAATTATATATATAAAATTAATTTAAAATTTAAAATTAGATAAATTTTAAAACTTTTTTAATATATATTTTTTAATTATTTTATAAATAAAATTTAAAATTAATTATTAATTATAAAAAATAATATTAATTATATTTAAATTACTATTTCTTTATCATAAATTAATTATAATAATATTATTATTATATTAATTATAATTATTAATAATATTAAAAAATTATATTT